TTTCCTCCTGTTATATAGATCTGTCTGTATAGATACACTTTTGTGTATATATACTGCCACATCACTCATTTTTTCTACAATTTGAAAAAGGTTACTTACACCGAAACACGTGTCATTTTCACCATAACTGTTTAAATTTTTATCATAATTGTTTAAACTTTTTAAACTTTTACCACAATTTTCTTTATTTTTACCATAACTTTTTAAATTTTTATCATAATTTTTAAAACTTTTACCACAATTTTCTTTAATTTTTATCATGATTTTTTAAAAATAAAAAATCGTGAAAACCATTGTTTCCGAAAGAGTTTATTAAACACTACAGTCAGATCACCTTCAACAAAAAATCTATTTTCAATATATATTTTGAATATCTATTCTTTATCATTTAAACAATTATTACGAAAAATGACAAATATTGAGGATACAAGAGATTCAATTCGCTTGTTTACATCTTATCTATATCGCAAAATCATTGAACACGATTTAACAGCAGATAAGTTACAATTCTGGAAAAATCGGTATCCAGATCACATTCAGAATATTAGCAAATTACTGAATGATATTGACATCACATTTGATAATCTCAAAAATGTTGTTTCAGCATTTGAACAACTATATGCTCTTCCTAATTTTACGTGGATACATTCTTCAATTGACATATACTGTCTTATTTGTTATAATCGCGATTTTGATATTCTTAAGAATAAACAAGAAGAACAATGTGATTCATCTTCAATTCCTTTCGATAATATTAGTTCATTTATTATTAACATACACGATTGCTTATATAAACAAAAATTTCATTTCAATAAATTAACAACACCATTATCGAAAAACACAGTCGTATTACAACATCTCTGTTCAATTATATCAAAAACTGAATTAAAACAAGATGACTGCCATACAGTTTTTAATCAGCTTTTTCAACTTCAGCTCACAAATGATAAATATAAACAACTACAAACTATACCACAATTATCATTTGTTTATTATATCTTACCTTTTTATGACCTGAGAAACAACACATTTCATGTTAAACAGCAATCTTCTATTATTAATCTGCCATCATCCACTTCCTTACTTTCAAGAGTAGCAACAACAACGTCAACTTTCGATACACTTTCTTCATGCCCGATTTCCAGTTCAAATTTAGGTTCAGTGACGATTACGTCACCAAGAACTATACGGTCGCTACCTACAGTATTAAATACCGATTACAAACAACAACTACCTCATTCGTTACCTTCTTCGCCTCAGTCATCAGCAATACACATTCAAGAAAATGTTCTTCCATCAATCGCTAATATTAATCGTTACGAATCAGTTTCGAACGACAATTTACAACAACAACACAGACCTTTATCGAATGATGATAATGATCCAATTGAATTAGATCGTATGGATCCTCCATTATCAACTAATCAACAACGGAGTTCAACAACGCAATCACCTTTACAACAATCTACATCAATAACATCAGGTCCACTTCCTCCGGTTTTAACAAATATTTTATCTCCTGTTCATGTTCCATTTTCAATTTTTGATCCAACGTTTTCGATTAATTCAGCAACAACCACAACATCAGCTTATACAACATCAATTTCTCATTTACATGAAATTCGTCCTCAACGTTTAGTGAGTAACAAAGATATACCATTTACAAATCGGCGCTGTCCTTGTTCATATTGTAACACATTAAGTTATAGTAATGATCGTCGATTCATCGATACAGGGTGTAATACTAACTCAATTGATACATCAGAAACTGTAGATTTTAAAGTGTTAAATTTAAAACACAAATATGATTACATCGACAAAGAACGTCCGTGGTTTCAAATGTCAACGATAAATATTGATCAAGATCCATTAACAACAACACCAAGAATGGTTCACTCAATACAACAAACCCATCTATCTTCATCCTCTCTATCAACAATGTCATCGAGAAAAGAAGATTTACCACCAGAAGTTGTTTTTAGAAATGAACTTGATCGTTTAAAACGTTACGAAAATCACTTTGCAATACTTAACTCACATAAGGAACGACGATCATATCCACAAACATTGTCATACATGCCAAAACCATCGCTTGGAGCAGATGATGGCAATTTTTTAACTGAATGGAATTCAATATTGAACCACTGTCGACAACAATTAATTGAACTGACCATGAAATTTATCAACGATCAGATTTCAGTTTCGAAAACCAAAATTGAATCTATATCATGTGCAATCCCGCATCTGAAAAGATTTGAAATTGAGGGCGAAATCGATAAAAAATTAGAATCGTTTATTGAAAACTCATGGTGTAAATTAATTCGTCATACAATCAACGCAAAAAAATCAGGAAAAAATTCATCACCATCATCATTGAGCAAAAACAAGCTTTCATTACCTGATTCGTCATTTCCAACGATTAATCATTTTCCACCGACAAAAACTACTGTCACAACAACAAAACGGGTATATAACAATAATAATATTAATCAAAAAAACCAAGATAAAAAATCTCGTCAATCTAAAAAAATACATTTTAATCAAAATGCCCAACAGGTTAGTCGTTCAACATCAACTTCTTTGAACCGACAACAACAGTCTTCTGATAAAAATCAACAACAGCTACAAACCAAAACAGCATCAGTTAATCGACGACAACAATCATCCGGAACAACAAACTCGTTTCCATCTCGTCAAGATCGTTCATCGTATAATAGAAGAAATAATAATCACTATTATAATAACGATTATTCATATAACTATCCTAGTTATTCTTTTGATCGATATCGATCAACGTATTATCCGTCTTATTATAATAATGAATACGATAATAACAACTCCTTTTACTATTATCGTTCTTCTTATTATCCTCGTTACCGTCGTCTACAACAACAGTATAGAAACAATCGTTCTTTTATTAATAATCGATTTAAACTAAATAGTAGTAATTATCCGTATTACGATTACGATAATAACAATAATAGCAATACTGAACATCAACAATGTAACTATCTTCCCTCGAACTCATTAGGTTTAAACTCGATCAATCAACAGCCACCACAATCATATTCAAATCAACATTCTAATTTTTTTCAACAAGACTCAAAAAACTTGTATCAACAATATCCACAACCAATTCGTTATCCACATACAGCAGCAACACCAACAGTTCAATCATTAGCTCCACAACAATATCTAATTCAGCCATCACCAACTTACTATCAACCTCAAATACCACAAACAACATATTAAATAATAACAACAACAATAATTCTTCACCGACAACAACATTTTCTTACTTAGATTCATTTAATTTATTCAAAAAAATTTATCCGTCATGCAATTTATCATCGATATTTAATCAAGAACTAAAATACGATCGTCAACTTGCCGAATTAGAAGCAATTCATCTAGATGGCATTATTTATACTATCGGTCATGTCATTTTAACAGTGAACGAGATTAAACTGTTATCAAAAGGTCTCAAATTCATTCCGAATAAATCTTTTCGCATAACCAACCAGGTCTATTCTCGTTTTAACAAATTGTTGACAATGAAACGATATAAAAATGTCAATATTAATGAATTTCTTATTTCATTATTTGCTAATCGTAAATTATTTATTCCAAATCTAACTACCGATGAACAACAAGCTCTGCATTCGTTAATTGAACGACAAGATATCGTTATT